ACTATTTTATAGTACCTTTTTCCCATTATCAAGAATAACATCCTCACCACACTTCAGTTTTCCAAACAGAGGACCCTTTGGTACACCTAGTTCTTTGGCCTTGTTTACCAGAAACTTGCCAGGTAATGATGGAAGTGAACAGATGTAGCTTACAATGTTTTCAACTTGACTGGTTTTCATTCGTTTGGTAGGGTTTTCTTCTAAATCTTTCTCTTTTGAAAACTCTGATTCTTTTAGTTTTCCTTGACAATAAAACAGATTCWTGATAGATCATGGTTGAATTCTTTGTTGTCAATTTGTCAACAATATTTCTTTATTGACCCCATCCATCCAGAATTTCTGAATTGGGGGCAATGGCAAACCCCCTCTACCCACTTACCCTCCCATCTTCAGAAGACAGATGTAAAGATTGTACTTCCTTCTTATAAATTGATTTGTGTATGCAAAGGCAATAATTACCTGATAACACCACTGGACAGACAGTAATATTTTCATCTTGAAATTTATCTTCACAATTCACAAATTCAGTACATTCTAATTGTAGTTTTTCTTGGAACATGAAATGTCTTGTTGCATAAATGAAATCCTTTAAATGATTTGGTCCATATATACCAAGATTGATTCTCCCAGTGTCTCTTAAAGTCATGGTCATTCCCGGCAGACCTCCAAGGGTATCCCATGATATTCTTGTAAAAAATATGTTGTTTAGTTTGTGAAAGCGAAGCTTGTTTTCATTGAAAAGTCGTTGAGTGCCTTCACCACAGTTGAACAGATACCTTGAAAAAAAAACCATTAATTTATTATTGAATAGTCTTCTACACGGTTCCATGCACCAGGGTTATGTAGTCGTGCTTTGCATCGAAGCGAGATGACCATTGAGCGTGCAATGATAGAAACATTCTCTCACATCTATACAGACAATTATTCACAGGTATCTATCATTGCACACTCAAAAGTTGTCTTGCTTTGATGTAACAGCATGGGTATCTTTCAAGATGGCGCAGGGAACCGTGAAGGACAATATTGCAACTACAATGGAATTACTGGATGACATTAGGTTCATATAAGTTTGTTTAAACTGCAACATACAATATCCTACATGTTTTATTTATACCAGGGAGTGGGCTGAMAATTAAGCCTTTTTAAATAGTAAAGTATAAAACTCCTCAGCCCCTCACTCCGAGCTGCCAACCCCTGATTTGTGCAAATATGCTTATGAGCATAAATGACTGTTWACCATTTGGGCTTCCTGTGCTGACTTCTAGTCGATACACAGACAAAAACTATTTCGCCTTTGGGTTAAATTGTAGCTTGGGTAATGTTTTGGCAACTTATTTAAAAAGTGTGCCAAATTAATAATTGWCCAACATCTGTCAACGTGAACTGGAAGATTCAGGTCTTTATCTAGGAGAACGGGACAAGTCTAAAATCTGGAGACTCCCTGATTATCTTGGAGAGTTGGCAGCTAAAGCTCAATTCAAATAAAATAATGACGTTGTCAATCCCTTCAGAAGCTTTTGAACAAAAACTAGACATTTGCTGGTATATTTCTTCTGACCCCCCTTGAGTGTCCTGAATTCATTATGACCCCCTTCTAAATCTTACCAGCCCACCCCCTGACAATGATGATAATGATAATGAATGGTCCATAAGCAGAAGAACGTACAGGCATTTTATCATATCGTTTGCGTTTGAAGCTTGAGAAGTGAAAACATTTYTTCMAAATAGAAGCATAACAAAATKAAAAGAAATTCCATAATTCTCGTATTCAGYGCTTCTGCTTATGTTTAGAAAAAACGTTTTGGAACTAATAAGGCGAGAGAGCGCATGTGCTGCCAACTTCACAGACGAAAATGTAAGATTTCGTAGTTTATCGCATTTTATTTTATGTTACATCAAATGTGCATAATTGATTTTTCATGAGATATTGTTCTTATTGTACAATAGTGAATACAAACCTTTTGCTGTCAGTGAACAACAAGAAAGATGCAGTGGTGTCAATCGTTTCACAACCAACAACTTGTAAATAAACTTTGTTCATAGACGAAACCATGTCTCTAATAAGCTTCCTAGTTCTCATAGAGTATCTGATATACCTTTAGACATATCATTTGTGAGTGGGCTTTCTAAAGACGGCGTTTAAGGTCTAAAAATGACAAAAAAACAACAAC